ACTGTGCATACTTTCTCCATACTCCTGAACCATACCTGAGGAGATAAGGTTAGTCCTAGTGGTCAATGCTGGTCCCCTGGGGTTGTGCTTGCTGGTGACCAGAGTCATCTGCCCCATGGCTCTTCCCACTGGTTCTGAGAATGTGAGAAAAGCCACAAGAGCAAGATGACCTGAAAGTACATCCATCCACTCAGCTGCCCAGAGCAGAGTGTGTTGCTCAGTATGTTGGGGTGAGGGGGACAGGCAGTGCAGGTGTGCCAGAGAGCAGGGGAGGGCAGCAGTAGCAGCAGTCCTAAAAGGAGCAGCCATGGAGGCTACTAGTCTGTGAGATGCTGCAGCAGGCACAAGGAGCCAGATGGGGGAGGAAAGTGCTTTACTTTTCACACAACAGATGGGCTCTGTAGCACTCGTCAGGAGATCTCATGGCACCCTGGTTGAGAATCACTGCTTTAGACATACCCAGCTCAAAGCAGGGGTGGGCAATTATTTTGACTCGAGAGTCACACTAGGAAATTTGGTGAGCAGTCGTGGGCCAGAGTCAAGGGAGTGGCGTGGTGCGGCAGGGGCAGGAGGGCAGTTGATCATATCCAGCCCAGGCCTGTCTACTCTGCACCCACAGCACAGGATGCCAGACAAAGTAGGTGGGTGGGGCTATGGGCAGGTGGGGGGTGGCATCCAAGAGCAGGATGGATGAGCAGAGCCAGGATTGCGGGGCGGTGACAGTGCAGGGCCAGGGCCCAGGGCAGAGCCATGATCCACTCCCCACACATCCCTGAAATGGGCACTGGTTCTGCAGACAGGGATGTGCAGGACCATGTTGCGACTCTGTCCTAGACCTCAGGTCCATGCTGTCACCTACCCATAATCATGGTCCCGGTCCCGGTCCCGGTCCCTGCCCACCCATCCCACTCCCCACTCACCCGAGGCCCCACCCCATATGCCCAGCTGAGCACACCCTGCCTGCAGGGGTCCCAAACCAGTCTCCATAGAAACCCCACCTGCACTGCCTGGGCAGCAGGGCTGGGTAGTGTCAGCGGAGACACTAACAATGGCAGCTAGGAAGAGCTGCCACTGCGGGAGCTCCCAGGAAACAGAGTCCAGCTGCTGCACTGTCCCTGTCCTGCTGCATGCCCGGGGCAGCAGGACCAGCTGAACATACCACAGCCTGGGCTGCCTCCCATGCCAGGGGCCAGGTGGAGGGCATGGGACCCTCAATGGGCTGGACAGAATTCCTTGGTGGGCTGGACCCTGCTCACATGCTGTATTTTGCCCAACCCTGCTCTAAAGCATGCCACTATCCTACCACTCCTGCCATTGTCAGAGACAGATTCTGGCCTAGATGGACCATTTGCCTGTCTCAATATGGCACTTCTTATGTTATT